CTTGGGTTCCCTATCACCAGCTTCCTTGTCCCCTTCTGCCTTCTGGCCCTTGTCACTGGACTCCTGTACCTCGTCAGTCTCATTTGGTTTTACGGGGCTGTCCACTCCCAGGCTGAGCGGTGAACCTCGGAGGTAAAGCATCATGTTTTTGAGGCTCACCGACACTGTAGCAGGTGTCAGAACTTCATTCCTTTCCATGGGCTTGCCCGGCTTTGCATCACAGCACCTAACACAATGGCTGGAGCAAAGTGAACAACAGCAGATGCTGAAATGAAAATGTTTCATGGCAGAATTCCAGTCCCTGTGAGATTAGGTTAGGTTAATGTTTGGGTAGGTTCCTCTTTTCATTGAGGCAGGATTTTGATGGTTTCAAATATTACAGGTAGGGATGTGAGACACAGACACTTTTAAAGGATAAGCATTTAAAAGTATTTCTAAAAATTTAAAGATCCCTAGAAGTGGGTAATAGTGGCATCTGGGAAAAGGGAAAGCCCTTGGTAATATCCAGCAGCATTCAGCAGTCATGTGACTGTTTTGGGCTCTTGAAATTGGTATCGCCATCTCTTCATCACCAAGGAGGCCTTCTCATTGAGCACCCACCGTGTACCAGGCACTGTGTCCCCAAGAGATACAGCTCTGAGACAGACACAGTCCCTAACACTGTGGTTCTTAGATGCTGAGGACGGTGAAGAAGGAAAGTACGTCCCTGAGCAGGTATTTAATTCACCTGGGATAGGCACTATGCCAGTGAGGAAGACGGTGCTGAGTTCTCTAGAGAGGGCAAAGTCAAGGAAGGCTTCAGTCACCAGCAGGGTGGGTAGGATTAACCAGGCACAGGGGAAAGGAGAGGGACCCTGGGGATGGAAGAACATCTGCATGAGCCCTGAGCCTGGCGGAGCTTCGGGACTTGGAAGAAATGAAGTCCACGTGGCTGGTGAGAGGAGAGAGCGGAAACGTGGACAAGAGGCTGGGACCGGGGCACAGTGCGGGTCATATGGCCCTGCAGCCACGCATGCTCCTGGTTGCTCAAACGGTGTCCTCAACCAGCTGTCTGAATTCGTCCCAAGCAATCACCCTAAACCCTTTGACATCTAGAGTTGCAGTGATGTGTAATCAAGAAAAAAATTTTTTTTTTAATTTCATAACTTGTTTGTTGAAATGGTACTGGGACAGGAGTTTACAGGAAAAATATTGGGGGATAGGGGAGGGATTGGGGCAGAAGCGTCCCACACTGACGTGACCATGATTTCACAACACAGCAGTGGGTGCTGGGGAAGCATTGTGGGCTGAGACCCTCTGTGAACTGTGGGAGGTGCAGTGACCTAGCAAGCATACTGTCCATCGTGGAGAATGATCCATGTGCACTGGAGAGGAATGTGTATCGTGTTGTTGTTGGGTGGAGTGTTCTATATATGTCTATTTGGTCTAGTTGGTTAATAGTGTTGTTCAAATCCTCTGTTTCCTTACTGATCTTCTTTGTAGATGGTCTGTCCATTATTGAGAGTGGTGTATTGAAGTCTCCAACTTTATTGTAGAATTCTCTTCAATTCTATCAGTGTTTGCTTTGTATATTTAGGTTTTCTGATATCTGGTACATCGATATTTGTAATTGCTATATCTTCTTGATGAATTGACTTTTTTATCTTTCTGTAATGTCCTTGTTTGGCTCTTAAAACAGATTTTGCCTTAAAGTGTATTTTCTCTGATATTAAAATTGCCACTTCAACTTTATTTTGGTTACTATTTGTGTGGACTTTTTTCCCCCATCCTTTTGCTTTCAACCTCTTTGTGTCTTTGGGCCTAAGATCTGCTATCTCTTGTAGACAGCATATAGTTGGATCATGTTTTTTTATCCATTCAACCACTCTCTGCCTTTTGATTGGAGCATTTAGTCCATTTACATTTATGGTAACTACCAGTAAGGAAGGCCTTACCTCTGCCATTTTGTTGTTTTTTTGTGTGTCTTGCATTCCATTTTAAAAGGAGAATTATCAATTAAGTCTCTCTTGAAAAAGAGAGGCCTCCTTGTTTAGGCACGAGCTGCCACCTAATAACCTCCCAACCATTCTCAAAGGAGACGCCCTCCTCCACACTCACTAGAATTGAGGGAGAAAACAGTTTTTGCTGCGTCCCACTGAGGAGTATCAGAAATACACAGTGAACTGCAGGAACAAAGCTTGGGCATCTTCGTGTCCTAAGCGGTGCCTCCTCAGGAGGTTCCTCACAGGTACCCGGGCTCCTCTGGACCGCTGCTGGTCCCCGACACACACTGAGAATCATCGCTTAACATGCGATTCCTCGGTGGCCTTCACCACCAAATACTGACTGGGTGACCCCTTCTCTTGCTCAGGACACCGTTGTGGAATTTGGGTCTTTCGACCCTTCCTGCCTGATGTCCATCTGCCCGGATTACTGGACCTACTCGGGGTCTCTGACCACCCCGCCGCTCTCCGAATCCGTCACCTGGATCATTAAGAAGCAAGCAATAGAGGCTGATGACGACCAGGTAAGTTCTTCCCACAGTCTCTACCCAAGGAAACCCAAGTGCACCCGCATCACACTGGGCTGGGCTCCAAATGTGGCATCTGTTTTTAACATCTTGTAATGCTCATACATTTTTATTAAAATGTGCTAACGTCTTATCTCAGTTTGGACATGAATTAGGAGATGCTTCAAATTAAGTAGAGCTAGGAGTTAAAACACAGGAGAACATAAGCTCTTTACTTCCATACTTAATAATGACTGCATGTGTACTATGTCTTTTATATATAAAATGTGAATCTGTAAGCTAAGACCCTTGTAAATGGAAGCATGATGGCTGGAAATGGATGTGTTCAAAACCCTTTAAAATCCTTAAAGGAATTTTGCTGTGGAATCTCAGGGTCCACAGATTTTATTCTAAGTCAGTTGTTTTGACTTGGGATACATTTTTACCATAGAAATTAAGTTTAAGTGGTAGTAACTACATCAACACAACAGAATCCTGTTTAATTTATAATGTAACTAAAGTACAATAATTACTGCTTTTACTTGTTTGTATGAGAATTGTAAAGCTTTTAAAATTGTAGTAAATATTTATGTAACAAATCATTTGCTTTTCCAACATTTTTCACGTGTACAATTTAGTGACATTAGTTATGTTTATCATGTTGTATGGAATTTTTATTGATTAAAAGCATTTTCACAAAAACAAGAGCTTCCAAATTCTTTTTTTGAATCCTGTATAACATTGATACCAAAACTCATCAAAGATTGAACCAAAGAAGTAAAAAGTAAACAATAGGCCAATATCTCTGAAGAACAAAAACCCACTGCCATCATAGCGACCCCATAGGGTTTGCGAGGCTGTAAATCTCTAAGGAAGCAGACTGCCACACCTTTCTCCCACGGAGCTGCTAGTGGTTTTGAACCACCAACCTTTAGGTTAGTAGTCAATCACTTTAACCACTGAGCCAAGAATATTAAAGCAAAAAATAGAAATAAAGTATTAGAATCCAGCAGTACATTGGACACAATATATACTTTGTCCAAGCAGCATTTTTTCCAGTACTGAAAAGATGGCTCAATATTAGGAATGCTATTAATATGTTTTATCACATCAGGAAACCTGAAGAGAAATATCACATTATCATATTCATAGACTCCTAAAAGGCATTTGACAAAATTCACAATCTATTTAAAAATTTTTTTTAATAATATAGAAATGAAGGGAGACATCCCTAACATGATCAAATAGATTGAGCTCAGCTCAAAAGTAAATAGTACTTTAATGTGGAAAGAATATCTACTAAGCCCACTATTATTAACGTAGTAAATATTAACTATAATTTAATCTGATATTGGCCAATAACACTAGACCAAAAGAAGATAAAGGAAATTAGAAAAACAGTAAAAACTATTACAAAAATAAGATAATTCAGCAATGAGTAGAGTACCATATTAATTTATAGAATTAAATTCCTTTGACATATATAAATCACAGAAGATATAATAAAATAATGAACCACATTTATAATGGAAACAAAAAAAAAATACCTTGGAATAAACTTAACATGAAATGTCAAAAGGAAACTTGAAAACATTCCTGAGAAATACAAATGTACACTTGAACTAATAAAATTCATACCATGTTATTAAATAGGAAGACATCTTTGATGTCAGTTCTCCTTAAGTTGTTATGCTCCATGAATTGTTTATTCTTCGTAAATTAAATGTTGTCCAAATAAAATACCAACAGATGCTTTTAAATAGATAGACGCTACTTCTAAAGTTCATGTGGAAGAACCAACTAGGATGAGTAGCCAGGACAAAATTCTAAAAAAGTAATTGAGGGATAATTAGACCCTCGATATTATTGTTGTTGTTGTGTACCATCGAGTGGATTCCGACTCATAGCGACTCTATAGGACAGAGTAGAACTGCCCCATGGGGCTTCCTAGGCTGTAAGCTTTACAGGAGCAGATCACCAGGCCTTTTCTCCCAAGGAGCTGCTGGTGGGTTCTAACAGCCAACCTTTCGATTAGCAGATAAGTGCTTTAACCATTGCATCACCACGGCTTCTCCCACAAGATTAGAAAACCCAAAACCAAACCCCTTGCCATCAAGTGGATTCTGACTCATAGTGACCCTGTAGGACAGAGTGGAACTGCCCCATAGGGTTTCCAAGGCTGTAAATCTTACGGAAGCAGACTGCCACATCTTTCTCCTGTGGAGCGGCTGGTGGGTTCAAACTACCAACCTTTTGGTTATCAGCCAGGCAGTTAACTACTATCCCACCAGGGCTCCTACAAGATTAGAAAGCCTCAATAATTAAGTAGTAAATACTGGCACATGAGTAAAGGGATAAATCAACAAGTGGAACAAAATAGTAAATTCACAAATACATGCGAGAATGTAGTTTATGATAAAAGTACCATCTCAGCTCAGTGGGGAGAAAGATAGGGTAGTCAATAAATGAATGTGGAGAACAACCGGGCAGAAATTTTGGGGAAAAGTTGGGCCCATCATTGAAACCTTACACAAGAATATATTCCAAATGGAGCGAAACTTTAAATGTAAAAAATACCACCGTGAAAGTCCTAGGATATGCATGGGAGAATCCTTTCATACTTCCTAATGGAGGCAGGTTTTCTAAACATAAAAACTCAGCTGTCATAAAGAAAGAAAGCAACTAGTAAATTAAACCACTAAAAAATCACATATTTTTTAAAAACCACATATTTTTAAAAATCCGGTGACTGTCCTGCATGCCTCTCCCCTGCATATAATATGGTATTGGCACAACAGCCAAATTACATAATGTCCTATCTCACAGAATGTGTTGTGGACATTAAGCGACGCATATCTGTATATAAAGAACTCTTAGAAATCAGTTGTCAAAGACCAGCAGCAAATGGTATAAACAGACAGTTTACAGTTAAGGAAATACAGGAAGCTTATAAATATATGAAAAGATGTTTAACGTCTTAAAAAGGGAAATACAAAATTAAACTACTACATTGAAATATCATTTTTCACCTATCAAATAGCAGAGACCCCCAAATTTGAAAGCCCACAGTGTTGGTAGAACTGTGGAGAACAGGCAACCTCATACATTGCTAGTGGGTAGTAATGTCACATTAACAAAGACATAAGCCAATGGAATAATAGATTAAAAAGACTATCACTAGCAATGAATTACAATATCAAAGGAAGGGAAACTGCTAAATTGGTACTACTGAAATAACTGTCAAAGTACAAATACACATTACTTTTGGAGAGCTATTTATGCTGCAGATAAACTCTCCACCTGAAAAATGATACATGTACGTGGTTATATTTTCCACCATTGTTTGTAATCAACCTAAATACCCATCACCTCCGTGTTAATGGCACAATGGTTAAGCGATCAGCTGCTAACCAAAAGGTCAGCGGTTCCAGTGGCTCCACGGGATAAAAGACCTGTCAATCTGTTCCTGTAAAGATTACAACCTAGGAAACCCAATGGGACAGGTCTACTCTGTCCTGTAGAATCGCCATGAGTCAGAATCGACTCGACAGCACACAACAACAGTCTAAATCATGAAAGAAAACAAGACAAAATGAAATTGAGGATTTCTACACAATACCTAACAAGTCCTCGTCAAATGCGTCAAGGTCATGAAAAACAAAGGAAGACTGAGAAACTGTCACAGACCGTAGGAGACAAAGGAGGAGTAGATCTTGGAACAGAAAAAGAACATCAGTGGACTGGGAAAATCCGAATAAAGTCTGGAGTTTAGTTAATAGTATTGAACCAATGTTAATTTCTTAGTTTTGATAAATTTACCATGGTTATGTAAGATAACGTTAGGAAAAGCTGGGTGAAATGTCTGCAGCAAGGCTTGTCATCCTGATACTGTTGACATTTGGGCCAGATCATTCTTTGCTGTGGGAGACTGTCCTGTGCATTATAGGATGTTTAGCAGCATCCCTGGCCTCTACCCACTCAGTGCCAGTAGCACCCCTAACAATCAAAAATATATCTGGACTTTCTCTAATGTTCATTGCAAAATCACCCCTGTTTGAGCACCACTGATACACTCTAATATCAACTACCAGTTGATCAACCTTTACTAGTTGGTTGTGAAGAAGAGAAGAAACAGATGTCTTCGATGTCTGTGAAAATGACTTTTAATTAATCAACATGTTAGTTTACCACTAGACAGTATTAGACGTGATTAACTTATGGCTGGAGTCCCTGGGTGGTACAAACGATTAATGTGCTCTGCTGCTAACTAAAAGGTTGGAGGTTTGGGTCCACCCAGAGGCACCTCAGAAGAAAGACCCGGTGATCTAATTCTGAAAAATCAGCTATTGAAAACCATATGGAGCACAGTTCTACTCTGACATACATAGGATTGTCATGAGTCAGAATCGACTCCACGGGAACTGTAACTTAACAGCAGAATACTGTGGTTTGCTGGAGGTTTTTAACCAAGAACTAGAATGACACCCAATGGGTTGTATTGGCAATAGCATGTAGACATTGAGTGATAAAATACATTATAAGAAATCCATACTCAATGGAACTAGACTGTCCACTCTGATGCTCTTATCATCTTAAGAGGTGTATTAGATATAAATGAATGAATGAATGAGTAAATAAATAAATGGAATTAGTGAGTGGAAAGAGTTAGGGTTTCATTCCCCATCACCTCTTGGCTGACAGCACTCTGCTTCCCCAACACTTGGCCCCTCTCTGCCCTCAGAAGCCTTTGGATGCCTCCTCGTTAAGCTCTTTGTTGTGTCCTCACTGTTCAGCCATCCGCCTCCAGCTCCGGGCAGAATCTGTTGTCCGCTCTTGGATTCAATACTTTGTGTCAGCCTCTATCTCTGTCTCTCACCCATCCCAACATGGTGTCAGGCCCAAGAGACGCCTTGTGCACGTCCATTTGAGGAGAAAGTTCTCAAGAACAGTTTGTTTCTACCACCTTGAACAGACCTCCGAAACTGAGCGCTATAATCAGTTACCTGACAGCCGCTGAA